ATACATACATGTTTAAACTTTTCTACATTTTGATATTTTGAATTTAGTTTTTCAACTATTCATAGTATTATCTTTACATACTACCCACCCAGTTTATTAACAAGTAAGCTTATGTGTAAGTACATATGTAGATGCAGTTGTAATCGTTTCTTTTCATATGCATAACTAACTCAGCTAAGTACATACGCATATAACCCATATAAGGAAGTAAAAACTTTAACTACATACTTAACTATATGTATATTATTATTTGTATTTGTGGCCCTACTTTGTCCATTCTCAGTCGGCATGGTTATCATAGCTAGGCATAAAACATGCTACTGCAGCCACCTTTGCAGTCTGTATGTTGTCTCCATAAAATTATGCTCTAAACCTCATCTTCTATTCAAGTTTATTGAAATGTTGTTGCCTTGAGAGCGTCATTGAAGTATACGGATTGTCGAAGCAACAATTGTTGTTACCGTTGATGGAAACTCTGCTGGCAGTCCTCTTGATTAACATCATCGGTTATGTCGCCACATATGCGCTGTTCGCTTGAGAGGGCAATTATACGGCCAGTGGTGGGGCTATTGTTGCTGTACCGCAATGCTACCATAAGCAATGTGGCAACACTGTGACCAAACTCTTGATGCTGCTGATATTGCTGTAGCGGTGGCTGTGGTTGTTGCGTGTAGCTGGATGAGCTTTTGTAACAACTGCTTTGTTTGATACATGTCGCAGTCGGTTGTAGGCTGATCCTGCTTTGGTCCTTGTGTCTCTGTTCGCGAACCTTGCCTGTTTTGCTCCAGAAAAATGTAAATATTTGTGATAAAACTAACGCGCAGACTATCGCACTAATTTGTTTGCTTAGATAGGTGGCAACGCCGTATCGCGCAGTGGACGCGGAGCTGGTTTGCATTGCTTCCAATCGCTCACCTGTGGAAAAATAAAATAAATAATAACAATAAATTGCTTATTGCTATAAGAACGATATGTATAATTAACATTTATGTACATATTGCCAATAATGATAGCTTTTTTTGAAGCTTTGATATCTTTCGTAACGATATGATGTGGCCAGAGGAAATATACTGGTAGCAGAAATAAAAAACTCGACTTATTTTGACCAGATTGGGCTATCTATATATTAAATAATACGCTAACATAAATTTTGTCCGCCTTCGTTTAGCGATTCTACCGAACCGATTTCAAAACCAAGAACACCATTGGAGGGCATTTTTCCGTAGATGAGATTTTATGGTTTCACAATTGGTTGAAAATTATGGCCAAAATCGTCGTTTAAACAGTTCCGTATTTTTTAGGGTTACTGCACGGGTAAGAAAATTTTTGGAATTTATGAAGTGAAACTTCTTTAGCGGCAGTTGGTTGGTTGGGAGTGAATTATCAAATTCAAGGGGAATAATGCACATGGAAATGGTTCTCAGCGGTTTAGCGGTTTCAAAATAAAAACAAAAACAAAGATTCCTAGAGATACAGGCAAAAAGGAAGATCAAAGTAAATTTAAACACTTTAAGGTAAAGGTGAAGAGGAATATGCAAAAATAAAGATAAATATGAAGAAAACTCGATATTTTTATCGATATAAAACTCGATATTTTTATCGATATAGTAATCGATATTGCTGCCGAGCTTCTCCTCCGATTTGTGCTGTGCGCCTTGATGTTGTCACACAAAGCGGAGGGACCTACAGTTTTACGCCGACTCCGAACGGCGATTGTATTTTTATGAGAAGCTGTTTTTTTCATGGCAGAAATACAATCGGAGGTTTGCCATTGCCTGCCGAGGACAGAGGAGAAGCTCGGCCAAACACTAACATATGTGTAAGCGCCAATCTATTATTATTAATCGATATTGCTATCGATAAAATAATCGATGTTATTATCGCTACTGTTATTGATTAAATAACCGCTATTGTAATCGATATAATATTCAATATAATAATCGATATTGTTATCGATACAATAATGGATATTGTTATCGGTATAATAATCGATTAAATAATTGATTTTGTTATCGATCTAGTAATTTATATTGTTATCGATATGTACAATAATCGATACTGATGATTGTTATATTTATCGATGAATTAATAGATTTTGCAATCGTTGTATTTTTCTATATGTTTATGGATATTGTTATCTGTATTTTTCCGACACAGTTATCAATAGGGTTATTGATATAATAATCGGAACATGGAATGTGATCACATTACATGACATCACATCAGAATATATATCACATAATATGAAGAGACATCACATGCTATTACATCACATAATATGATATCACATCACACGATATCACGTGACACGACGTCATATGATATAACATCATATTATATAGCATGACATCACATAACTTGACATCACATGATATGACATCGTATGACATGACATGGCATTACATGACGTGGCATCACATGATATGACAACACATGACATGACATCCTATCACATCACATAATATCACGACACATCTTATCACGTCATCGCACCTCATCTCATCTACGTGAATAGAAAAAGAAAAGGATATAAGCAAAAATGTGAAAGATAAAAACAAAGATGAAGGTCAAGGTAAATTTACCGATTTCAAAACCAAAAACACCGTTGAAAAGGAAAGATTTTTATAGTTTCGAAATTGGTTGAAAATCGTGCGATCGGGCGCAACGCGCGCTATGTGGGCCCGCTACAGGGATCTAAAGAGTGAAGCGAGACGTATTTGCCGCAATAAGATGAGAGAGGCCAAAATACGTGCGTGCGAAGAGCTTGAAATGCTAGCCGACAGGAAGAATGCCCGAAAATTTTACCAGAGAGTTAGACGACTTACGGAAGGTTTCAAGACCAGGGCGTATTCCTGTAAGAACAAAAATGACGACCTAGTAACCGATGTTCAGAACGTACTTAAATTATGTAGGGAACACTTTTCCGCCCTAATGAATGGTAGCAGCACGGAAAGTTGTGGAGAAGAAGAACCCGAGCCCGCAGTCGATGATGACGGAGTCGACGTTCCACCGACTGACTATGACGAAGTACGAATAGCAATAACGCGGCTGAAAAACAACAACGCTGCTGGAGCTGACAGCGTGCCAGCCATGAACCAAAAAGACAAGGTCACGACAGCAGAAGGGTGGCCCGTTATAATCGCACTTATGAAAAAAGTAGGGCGATTTTGACATAAGCCGTTTGTTTACATTTGTTCGTTGTTTACAATTTGGTGGTGGCTTTTTACTGCAATTTTCTTAATTTTCGCTTGTGACAACGTGGGCACACATAAGGTAAAGAATAATTTAACAAAACAACATGATTTATAGAAGAATTTGCATAATAAAAATGATTATTCATGCGTTCAACAATTACGCGGTTTTTTTTGTTCTCTTCGTTGTTTACTTCTTCCAACAAAGATGGCGTCGAGATTTCAACAGCTAGAAAATAACTTTTTTCTTTCTTTCGGGAAGGCGTGATCTTGTGTCTTTCGTTCATGCGTGCCAGCTGAGCTTTTCAAGTACGGCGGCGGGGAGTTGATAAGGTGCATGCATCAACTATTGTGCAGAATTTGGTCAGATGAACGCTTGCCCGATGACTGGAATTTGAGTGTGCTCTGCCCAATCCACAAGAAAGGTGACCTCGCCATTCGCGCCAACTACCGCGGGATCAGCCTTCTAAGCATAGGTTACAAGGTCTTATCGAGCGTATTGTGTGAAAGATTGAAGCCCACCATCAATGAACTGATCATCAGTGAGGCTTTAGGCCTGGGAAATCCACCATAGACCAGGTATTCACAATACGCCAAATCTTGGAAAAGACCCGCGAGAAAAGGATCGACACTCACCACCTATTTGTCGACTTTAAAGCCGCTTTCGACAGCACTAAAAGGAGTTACCTATACGCCGCTATGTCTGAATTTGGCATCCCCTCAAAACGATATGGCTGTGTAAAATGACGTTGAGCAATACTACCAACTCCGTCAGAATTGGGAAAGACATCTCTGATGCGTCGCCACCAAACGGGGTTTCAGACTAGGCAACTCCCTGTTATGTGACTTCTTTAATCTGATGTTTGAGAAGATAATAAGAGCTGCAGAACTGAACCGCTCAGGAAGAATTTACTACAAGGGCGTGCAATTGCTGGCTTATGCCGTTGACATCGACATCATCGGTAGCAAGAACCGCGAAGTCTGTTCTGCCTTCCCCAAGTTGGATAAGGAAGCAAAGCGAATGGATCTGGTGGTAAGCGTTGGCTTCGGCGCGTACCGCATACGGTGGAACGATGAGCTGTATGAGCTTTACTACGACATGGACGTAGTGCAGCGAATTAAAATGCAGCGGCTCCGCTGGCTTGGCCATGTCGTTCGAATAGACACCGATGCTCCAGCCCTGAAAGTTTTCAACTCGGAACCCGCTGGTGGTAGCATAGCAAGAGGGGAGCCCCAACTGCGATGGAAAGATCAGGTGAAGAAGGACTTGACTTCACGTGGCGTTTCCAATTGGCGTCATTTGGCACAGAAGAGAAACGACTGGCGTGCCTTTCTGAACTCGGTCAAAATCGCTTAGGCGGTTACAGCGCCAAATAAGAAGAAGAAGAAGATTATAAAGTACCAGTTTCAAGTGGCTACAAAATACCGTTTGAAATTTTGTTATGTTGAAGAGAATGTCAAGCACCGTCAAAGTGGTTCACCAGTTAGTTTGAGCGCAAGCGAAAGTGTGTTAAAAATGCTGAAGAAAATCTTAAAAACCAATGGGACAATTATTTCATATTATTTCTCCTACGTACTCTAAGGCTTTTATTAGTGACCCTCGTGTAAGACCTGCTAAATGTTGTTTGGAAAATTAAATTTCTTAACAAGATAATATTTTCTTTTATAAGTAAGAAATAAATACATATTTCGCGGCGGTTAGAAGAGTGTACATATATCTTATCAATAACCCATACAGTACTGTTTTAATACTTGATCAAGGAAGCCTAATTGAATGAATGGCCGCAGTAAGCTGGGTTCATTGCGTACCAATGAGGAATTGCGTTTCTCTATTCCCTAATAATAAATGTTTGGCTTTGCAATATTTTTTGTTTGTTTTTAACGTATTCACCTTGTAGCACATGTACGCGTATGCTTGTTATTTCCGTGTTCGATGGGTAGCAGGAATATTTACCAGAGTCTAGGAGATCAGCATTTTTGATTAGTAGTATTGATTTGGTTTCCATAGACTTAATAGTTCTTATTTTCAAACGACTGGCTGATGTTTCCTCTGAAAGGACCTACGAAAGAAAATAAAGAAGAGAAGTTAGAATAGACGAAATTTAAAGAAGACTTAGAACACTTATTATCGCGTTCTTAAGTATGAAGTATGAATGATTTTTTTTTTTACTTAAGAAGCCCGTGTATTTCACTACGTAGAATTTAACATTGCGGCGTATTGGTTTAAGGATGACTACAGATAATCCTACACTGGTTTTGATAATAAAGTTTTATCATTTATACAAACTGCTCAAACGCTGTAATAGTGACTGAAAAATAAAGAACATCTAGGAAATTAATTACCACATTCTGTAAAACCGACCCGTAGCGGTTTAAGTCTTAATAAGACAATTTTGAGATATGTAGTATTGGGACCAATTAATTGATATATTGGCATTAGCTTTCAGACTTACATGTGAGAAGTTTTAAAATAATTAAAAAATGTACGACATTTGCACATATGTTTAAGTAACTTTGTATATGAGAAAATCGCATGAGTTGTTTTTTTAGTGTCACTTTCTTCTCTCGTCAGAAACAAAAAAAAAAAAGCTAACTCATTCTTTTTCTATGTATATCAATCAATAGAGTTCCAGAAACAATTACAACAAAAAATAAATCAAGAATTTGAACAATTTCAGCCTTAAAACGTTTATTTAGGCAAAAAAGTACCGAAATTACTAAGTTTTTCATTGTAGCTCAAAAAAATTATAACTGCTTCTTATAATAACTTTGGATAGTAACACTCTGGAAGAGTTCTTTGGGGGATGCGTCAAGCGGGAGTGTTGAGCACCGGCTATGTATTTATGTATGTTCAAAAATTTGGGTAGGCGCTGTGACCAATGGTAACTTTTGTACCACCTCTGTATGCTGAAAGCTATACGGAGCCCCGTGAGACAACTCTGGAGGAGTTGTGGTTCATCAAGCGAGAGTTTTGAGCATGATTTGGGGTGCCAGCATTTACAAACTTTAGTAGGTTTAACTCTGTGGCAGTTGAGAAGAGCATGTGCATAAACAATTTCTAATGTGAACTGTTTGCACCCACAGCTTTGCACATGCTTGTATTTATATACAAACGTGCTTTATATGTATCCGGTTTGGTACCAGTTGCTTGAGGTGTAGCTTCCCTGTAGTGAAACACCAACCTAGTCAGGAAAAATATTAGTTTACAACTAGAATTTCCTGACAAAAACCGAACTAGTTCGAAAATGACCAGATTTGTGCCAAGTACAAAACGATTTATTCATGCCCCGTTTTATTTGACTTCGACAGTTTAATACAATAAAGTACACAAAATATTATAACTTTTATTTGGCCATTAAATCGATTACGTATTCAATTATACCAGACCTGTTAAACAATGATTAATTTTCATAATCATTATTACTTAAAGCATGTTTTTTTGGATAACCGTTTAATGATTAAATACCGATATTACCACATTTTTAATGATTAAAAATGAATTACTTAAAAAAATGTTAATTAATTCTAATTACATCATTATTTTGTAATTTTTGATCATTTTCAATTATTTTCGACTTTTTTTAATTGCACGGTTAATATAATTATTTGATTAATTTCTATTATCAATAACAAGCCAAACTATAGACAAAATTCAAGAACATTTAATAACTGCTTGAATTATTTACTTATTTTATTTTTATCCAAATCTCAAATTTTAAACATTAATTATTACTTCTATAAATTTTTAAAAATAATAGACTGAAATGTGTAAAGTTAATGAATTTAATTTTTTTTAATGAACACTTTTTTTTTATTTTAGTTCACTCGAAAATGAACTGAAGTATTAATTTTATTTTTAACTAAAATGTTTTCTTTTGCATATTCAATATTATTCAAAAAGATAAAAATATAGTATTAATTGTACCTGAAACCTTTTTTTTTTAATAACATTTAATGTAAAATGCATTTAAATTTATGTTCGAAAGTTTGGAATATTTACGTACTTAGTTTTGCTTTTAAATAATACTCAAAAAATTTTACACTAATAATTCGAAAATCTAAGGGTGCTAAATAACAATGTATAATATATTTAAGTGTACTTAATCAAAAGTTTTTTTATTGTATACATGAATTCATTTTATTTTTTGGCTCCCAAAACAGTGGTATTGGTCCATAATTGTACTCGAATTTTTCTGTCTATTTTTAACTAGTATGAGATTGGTATATTTCTGGCCGATATCTGACAATTGCCATCTCGTAGGATGTTAAAAATACCAATTGGTTGCATGGAAAAAAGATAGTTGGCTGACTAGTTGGGCATGCGGTTCATACTAGTTATGTGGTAGTTTTCAACTAGTACATTTGACTACAGGGTTATTAGTCACCTAATCAAAGACATTTTCATTTAAAGTTTGCCTTGTGAATGAAAAAAAAAATTTACTTGCAAAATGTTACTCAATCGCCAATAGGAGTATGTACGAGTACGGCCCTGTTCGATGAAGCGTATGAGTAATATTATTTCCTGGCCCTATTTCATACAAAAAATTATTGCATTTTCATTTAGCCATTCAAAACTTGTTTGTTTATCCATCGATTTTCATCGTTAGTAGCTTGAATTTGTGGCAGAAGAACAATAATTAATTAATAAAATTACAATGCATGGATTACCAGATCTGGAACAACGTTATACATATCCGTAATCTACGACTCAATCTTAAGTTCACGTGTTTCGGCGTTTTTTTTGTGTTATTTCAAAACTAGAGATTTTTCATACAGCGTAATTTGATTACGTATAGCTTACTTTATGTACTAGTTATACTATAACGAGTTAAATATACAATCGTAGGTATTTACCTTATCTTGATGATACCAAAAAATATGTGTCGGTGGCTCAGGGCTGTACTTGATTACGCAGGTCAGATTAATTGTGCTACCTCTATCCACATATAAATCGGGTCCACCCAATATGCTTGACGTTGGTACTGTTGCGTAGGAAATCACGAGATTGGCAGGTTTAAAGTCACAAAGGAATATAAGAAAAGAAAAGGTAAATTATGTAGACACATTTGTAGCATGTACTTTTATATGCATAATGGATATGGATAATAGCATTCAAGTTCATATAGACAGCAAATGTTACATATTTTCAGTAAATCAGATAAACTTATGTATATCTAGTTATTTCAGTTGGTTGCCAAATCCTATGTATGAAATATGTAGTGAATTTAATAGGACAAAAACAACAAGCAAAAAACAACAAAAGTAAAAAACAACAAAAGTAAAAAACAAAAAGCACCAAAAAAAGGGGGAAGCTTATTGCAGAAATTGAAGGCTTATAAGAGTCAGCCTGTTTCTAACTTGAGTTATTGAGGTTTAGACGTAGTATTCATTACGAAAGTCAGAAGGAGAGTCGATTCCCTAGCCAAATCATTAAAACCTTTAAGGACCGTTTTCTGAAGTAGGTTCGAAAATCTATCTGCTCTTCAAAAACATTTTTTTCAGAACAAATTCAAAACCTGAGAAAACGTCACTAAGTTTAGCCTCTTTCTTTGCTAGAAGCAATGCAGAAAGCTATCGGCAATGTAGTAGGGTGGGTCGAAAATCTAATTTTTCTCAAATCCCTTGGTGATAATGAAGATATATTGTATCATGAAGTCAACAACAAGCCTGAAAAATATTAGTCCTTTATTGTAACTGTAAGAGCCCGCGCATCGACCGCCAAATGACCCACCGCATACAACTTAGTCGAATAAGACCAATTCTTGTTAAAAATTCTGGGTTCAGCAAAAAGGTTTGGTGCATATTATTAGATAATGAATCCGTTAACGCAAAAGATAAAGTCAAATATTATTTCTCAGAGCCCTTTAGCTTAGGGTTAATCTCAAAGTTATCTTTTTTCAAGAAAATTTTAATTGTTCTCTTGGTAATTGCACTGGCCTATTGTCAAAAGATGTAAAGAACAGCATTAATATTAATAGGCGTGCATTTAGGTCGCTGGTTCCAAATATTCTAATCTTTTTTTAATATTAGCTATAGTTGGCGAATTTTTGCAAATTTAGAAAAAATTTCGGTAACTCCAATCGAAAAGAAATTACTTTCCATCATCGTGGAAGAATTTTGTTTATGCAAATGAGTATGGAAACACTGAACAGGCACAACTTCTAGAAACACTAATTAGTTAACTTAGGTTTATGCATACAATATAAAAATTGCAAATATCGGAAAATGACAAAAAATTTTATTCACTATTTTTTTTTTATTTTAAAATAATTTGTTTATAATTTCAATGATTTCGGTCATATTATTATCATAAATCGGTAACAGTAAGTCTCGCCTTCAATTTGGTAATTATTACGTACCGATCGAGTAAAGTTATATCGAAAAACTTAAGTGGATCTCCAGTTTTTTTCTAAAAAAATTTCTCTTCAATTGTATAAATAATTTTAAATGAAAGAACCGGATTATATAAAAGTGTGCCAGGGAGTGACTTTTTTCGTTCAAGCTGAATGCAAAGCAATATCGTCCAATTGAAGAGTCCTCAAAAGTATTTACCAGGATCTGTTAAAGACTATTGGATTTACCTACAGTCACTTCTTCACATAATGGAATTAACTAAAATATTTATGTATATCTGAACTAGGGGTGCAAATCAAAAAAATACATCGATGTTTTTTTCGATTCGATACAACGAAATATAGAATCGATGGATATCGATGTATCGTATGAAAACATCGATATTTTCGTTGCATCGAATGAAACAGTTTATTTCAATTAAAAATATTCCAAAAGAAAATGTAACAATCTTAACTTCGATAAATGTATAACTCACAGTGAAATGTTTTAACTGATTTAAATAGTTTTTTCTGTTCTTTTGAGAAGGTTTAGAAAAAATTTTCGGAAGGAGCGGAAGTGGCGACAATTGTTAAATGTGTATAAGCATACTGAAATATTAGTGCGATTCATAAAACGTCGCAAAGTGCCATTTTTGGCGAAATGGCAATGTTGCGAACAAAGTTGTATGAACGACCTATCGCAACTCCGGATTACAAATGTAAAATTTTTTAAAAATGTCGCGCTTTAGAGAAAAAGAAAAGTTTTTACAACTATATTTCGAAGCAGCCTTAACTGATATACTTTTTCTTGAAGTATTTGAAGACAATAAAAAAAAAAAATGTGTTTCGCGACTTTGACTTTGCAATGATTGCCAGCTCAAATACTATGGCAATGTCGCAATTTTGTCGCAAGAAGTTTCCATACAAAAGTAATCAGCTGCGTCACAAGGTGGAAAATGCGAGATTTGAAACAACTTTGCGACGTTTCATGAATCCCACTAATATAAAGTGTGCCAGCTAGCAGTGACATTTTATTTCGGTACACTTATTTGGCAATTTATTATCATCATTTTTTTCTTCATTTGACTTTCATGTTAACCCTATTGCCAAATTACCAAGCTCTCAAAAAGTTACCTATTTTGGTTACAAGCGACCAAATGTGGCAACCATGATACACATAATATTGTTTGGCGGTATAAAAGAGTGAAAATCAAAATAGAAGCTGGAATAAGAAAAAAAGCGCACGTTACTTGTCAGTTATAAAATAACAATAATAGCAACAAATATAAATGGAGCTCTAGCACGAGCGTTTGTTTGGTTTTTGAATGTCAAAATTTTACTTTGCGTTTGGCACAGCAAAATTCAATTTATCTATACACCATATTGTAATTGATTGGCACAAGCCTATGAGAAGCTTTTTTTCATGGCTGAATACTAGGGTGGTCTTTAAAAATCAAATGAACGATTTTTCAGTCTTACCCCCTCAATCGGTAATACCACTCTCATAAATATCACATATAAATTTTGGTCCCGATTTGAGACGGTTAAGGCCTGTCGCAAAGGGGCAAAGTTCAGATTCCTCTATGGAGACTCAAAAAAGTAGAATTAATTTTTTTTCCATATAATAGTCTAAAGGGGTCAAAGGCCTCTAGGGACTCAAAAAATTAAAAATATGTTTTTTCATTTAATGCCCAAAATCGATACTACTAAAGTCGTGGATATCACATAAATATTAAGTTTAGTTCCGATTGAAGTCGGTTAAGATGTCGTCGTAGGGTAATCTGGACTTTGAACCTTGTGCGACACGGCTTTACCGTCTCCAATCGGGACCAAAATGTATATGTGATATCTTCGACTATAGTAGCATCGACGTAAGGGTTGAGGCTTAGAAAATCTGATGTAAAAATTTGCTCATTACATTTAAGAACCACCCTACTGAGTACACTCGGAGGTTTGCCATTGCCAGCCGAAGGGAGACCACTATTAGAAAAAAACTTATTTTATGTTGGATTTTGTTTATGTTAGTCGGAGACTAAGCTCGAACCCAGGCCCTGCGGAATGGTCGTGCGCACTTATAACCAATTAACAATCCAAATTAGGTTCTCCATAACTCTGTCACTTTGGCGATTCAATATTTAAATTATAAGTATCCTACACAGTGTTGCCGTTTTAGCCCTTTGGTGGCTAGATTTAGCTACCACATACTTTTTTTGGCCACATAAATTTAAAATTGCCCCTAGCCCTTTTTTTAGCCCTTTTTAGAATTTATTCATAATATTTGGCATGACAAAGTTGTATATGCTTAATTTGTTTTTTTTTTTTTTGCATTTATGTAAGAGATGAATTTTTAAACTAAGAAAGACTGATATATATACATATATGTATTGTATGTTCCTTACGCTTTTATACATCCATACTGTAAAAGTGTTGGGGCTGTTAGCTTATCTGTTAACGATTTAACTATAGTTTAAAATAAATTTGTTAAATGACCCATCAAGTCAATTTACCGTGTATGTTCTTGTGGTGTGATTATAACGGGTGATTTTTTAAGAGCTTGATACCTTTTTTTTAAAAAAAACGCATAAAATTTGCAAAATCTCATCGGTTCTTTATTTGAAACGTTAGATTGGTCCATGACATTTACTTTTTGAAGATAATTTCATTTAAATGTTGACCGCGGCTGCGTCTTAGGTGGTCCATTCGGAAAGTCCAATTTTGGGCAACTTTTTCGAGCATTTCGGCCGGAATAGCCCGAATTTCTTCGGAAATGTTGTCTTCCAAAGCTGGAATAGTTGCTGGCTTATTTCTGTAGACTTTAGACTTGACGTAGCCCCACAAAAAATAGTCTAAAGGCGTCAAATCGCATGATCTTGGTGGCCAACTTACCGGTCCATTTCTTGAGATGAATTGTTCTCCGAAGTTTTCCCTCAAAATGGCCATAGAATCGCGAGCTGTGTGGCATGTAGCGCCATCTTGTTGAAACCACATGTCAACCAAGTTCAGTTCTTCCATTTTTGGCAACAAAAAGTTTGTTAGCATCGAACGATAGCGATCGCCATTCACCGTAACGTTGCGTCCAACAGCATCTTTGAAAAAATACGGTCCAATGATTCCACCAGCGTACAAACCACACCAAACAGTGCATTTTTCGGGATGCATGGGCAGTTCTTGAACGGCTTCTGGTTGCTCTTCACTCCAAATGCGGCAATTTTGCTTATTTACGAAGCCATTCAACCAGAAATGAGCCTCATCGCTGAACAAAATTTGTCGATAAAAAAGCGGATTTTCTGCCAACTTTTCTAGGGCCCATTCACTGAAAATTCGACGTTGTGGCAGATCGTTCGGCTTCAGTTCTTGCACGAGCTGTATTTTATACGGTTTTACACCAAGATCTTTGCGTAAAATCTTCCATGTGGTCGAATAACACAAACCCAATTGCTGCGAACGGCGACGAATCGACATTTCACGGTCTTCAGCAACACTCTCAGAAACAGACGCAATATTCTCTTCTGTACGCACTGTACGCATTCGTGTGGTTGGTTTAATGTCCAATAAAGTAAACTGAGTGCGAAACTTGGTCACAATCGCTTGTTTGCTCACTTGGTCGATTATGTAGACCATAAATCGGACGTAAAGCGCGAAACACATTT